GGGCGGCCATTTTCGGGTGCCTGTGCAGTGAAAAATGGCTCCTAAACACAGTGGGGAGCCATTTTGAGCACCTGGCGGCCATTTTGAAAACCTGACGATCAGCTGTTTTGATCGTTGGTAAGCAAAAATCGGTTCCTGAAACAGGGAACCGATCATCGCGCAGCGAAATTCCCCCATTCAAAACATCGTTTAGCGATCGCAAAAACCTCATTGTAATGCGGATTCGTTGTTAAACGGAGCGGCCGTCTTGCGAGGCACCACTGTACATCCTTGTTGTACTCCTTTCCCAATTTTGAACCAGTTAGTTGTTCCATATCCAGTTCTAACTGTTGCTTCCTGTCCCACATATAGATTTCTCAGGAGATAGATAAGGTGGTCAGCCACTCCCATTTCTTTAAGGACTCGCCATAGTTTGTTGTGGTCCACGCAGCCAAAGACTTTCGTGTAGTCAATGAAGCAGAAGTAGATGTTTTTCTGGAACTCTCTAGCTTTCTCCATAATCCAGCGCATATTAGCAATTTGGTCTCTAGTTCCTCTGCCCCTTTGAAATCTAGCTTTTACTTCTGGGAGTTCTCGGTCCACATACTGCTGAAGCCTACCTTGTAGGATTTTGAGCATAACCTTGCTAGCGTTTTAGACTTATATTGTTACCTATTTTAAAACTCATTGAATTCAATATGTGTTTTTAATAGCCAAAAATTACAGTGAGAAACATAACTTGCACTTTTCCTCTGTAGGAGGGTCGAACACATGTTGGAAGAGAAGATGCTGCAACAGAACAGGACATTGGTAAAAGAGGGCTGGGCAATTATTCCTGTCCATAAGAACTTAACTGAGAGTTAAGTTAAATGAGAGGGATATTTCTTAACAGCTTCTGTGGCATACACTTCAAAATCTCAGATCTGTACATTTGAAAGGGGCTAGAAAATTTTTAGTTTGATCAGTTTGCACTTTAACGAAACAGGGTTATGTTATAAACACAGTGTGCTACGACAAGACACAAGTGTACTACAGAGTACTTGTGGAACAATTATAACAAATTTGATCAGATGTCTCAAACAAAACAATACTTTTACTGTGAGGTTGATGTATCTGTAATGTTGGTACTCTTAATGTACCCCTTAACGTTTCGGGAGTAGGTCCCGTGCTATTGCATACTCCTTCCCCTTAACATTTTTCCTGCATCTTAAAAGTTCTCCCTGCTGCTGTTAACCATGCTTAGTCACCATGTCTACTCTTCAGAAAAAAATAATGATTTCTAACCATGGTTTAGGCTAAATATTTCCAGAAAATCAAAACAAGGCTTTAAGCTATTCGTGGCCATTCACTTAATGGTGGCTAAAGAGTGGGCAGTGCTACAGCTACCTTGGTCCCTAGGATGACTTAAGTAGTAAAAGCAATTATTTCAGGGAGGACAAAATTACAAAATGTGTGCAAGGCTTTCTCTCTAGACAATCCCTGTATTATTGGTTGGACATTACTTATTTAATAAATCTTAAAAGAAATTTCTCTTGAGATCACATAGCAAGAATTGAGCTTCAGGAACTGCTATTATTCCTGGTTTTATTTTTGGACTTAGATTGTAAAGTTTCTTGAGGAAAATATGTGATTTTTGGTAATGTAGTCTGCTTGTACATATCGCTTTGATAAGTAAAGCCATTGAGTACATTTTCCATCATTATGTTGTTTACTGTGGCTAGAATCCTGCTGAGGGGGGAAAACACACATTTGCAACAGTAATCAAGAAAGTACTTTCTTCACTCTGCCAGGCTGTCCATTTTGTGACCAGTCATGCACTGGTGTAAAATCGGTCTCACGATGACTGTGAATGGGAAGAAAATGGCCAATACAGTTACTGTAGCACAAATTTTAAAGACTTTTTTAAAAAACAAAAGATTCTTCCCAATGTCTTCTTCCTTTGCTCACAGACACCCATGTGCACAATAGGGCAAGAAGATAGGAGATCTAGAAATACTTTTTCCCCATAATAAGGATGGGAGTCAGTGGATTATAATTTTAGTGTAAGGTTGATAGGGTAGGTGCAAAGGCTAGTTGTGTTGGTTGCGAAAAGAAAGAGAAATGATTTTGTGTATTGCAGTCCTTCGAGGCCTTGATTTGGAAAGTGAGCATTGCATCTTTGAACACTTTAATGGAGCAGTTCACTTAATACCACTCCGTGGAGCTCAGTGTTCGGTGAATGGAACTCAAATTGCAGAAGCAACACAACTCAACCAAGGTATTTGACTAGAAGGGAAATTTGCACTTTTCTTACCTTTTTCAACTGGGTTGAAAAGCTGTAATGTCCACTCTTCCTGTTCTCTGTATAATAGTCATCAGTCAATTGTAAGCTGTTTCACAGTGGGGCAAATTGTGGTCTTCCAAATGTTGTTATACTGTCATTCCCTTCATTGCCCATGTTTTCCTTCCGGCATAATCTGTGATGAGGGATTATGAGAGTTATAGAGTTATGCCCTCCTGTTTGAGTTCAACTATATACATAATGTAGTAAAGAGAATCATGTGTTGTGTGTGAGAGTTTATGTGGCTCTATTAGTAGTCGACTGCAGTTGAATGTTAAAAAGACAAAAATAGGGACTACAGAAGATCTGCAAAACTTCAGCATTGAGAGTGAAGAAATTGAAATAGTGAAAAGTTTTGTATACCTTGTTTCAGTCATCAGCCAAGAAACCAGACTGCAGCCAAGAAACCAGAAGATTTAGACTTGGAAGGGCAGCAATGAAGGAATTAGAAAAGATCATTAGGTATATGGATAAGTCACTGGAGACCAAGAACAGGCATCCACACATTTGTATTTATTATTACCTCATATGGGTGTGAAAGCTTGACAGTTGTGAAAGCTGTCAGGAAAAAAATTGATTTTGTTTGAAATGTGGTGCTGGAGGAAAGCTTTGCAGATACACAGAACTGCCAAAAAGATGAACAAGTGGGTCCTACTGTGTTTCCCCAAAAATAAGATAGGGTCTGATATTAATTTTTGCTACAAGAAACTCATTAGGGCTTATTTTCAGAGGATTTTTAATTTTTTTCATGTGCAACAATCTATGTTTATTCAAATACAGTCATGTCATCTGGTTGCTATACAGTGCTGCACAATGGTGGAGGGCGGGGTTTCACTTAACAGGTGCTCATTTTTGGGGTAGGGCTTATATTCCCCTTCATGGATTGCTGCCTTGTCGTGGCGAAGGGGCTTGAGTAACTCAGAGAAGCTATGGGCTATGCCGTGCAAGGACACCCAAGACGGACAGGTCATAGTGAAGCATTCTGACTAAACATGATCCACCTGGAGGAGGAATTGGCAAACCACTCCAGTATCTTTGCCAAGAAAACTCCACGGACAGAAACAAAAGGCTACAGAGGATGAGATGATTGGACAGTGTTATCAAAGCTACCAACATGAATTTGACCAAACTTCGAGAGGCCGTGGAAGACAGGAGGGCCTGGCGTGTTCTCTTCCAAGGGGTCATGAAGAGTCAGACACAACAACGACTAAGCAACAACAACAAGGAAAAGAGAAAGACCAAATACAGGAAGGATTGATTCCCTAAAGAAAGCCACAAGCTTGAGTTTATAAGAACTGAGCAGGGCTGTTGAGGACAGGACATTCTGTAAATTACTCATTCATAGGATCATTATAAGTAGGAAGTGATTCAATGGCCTATTATAACAACAACACCGTTAGTGGTTAAGCTGATTTAGGTATGCCATGGAGTTCCAATGAGACTAGTCATCCATTCAAAAAGCAGACCAAAACTTCAATTAAATGAATTAAAGAAATGATGAGATTTCCAGGAGATTTGCACTACTGAGAGGAAGGCCGTTTAATTAATCTCGAAATTTGCACTAAAGTTATCACTGTGGTGGTTCTCAGTTCTTTTCTTTAATTTTCATGACTAACTTGAAGAAAGGGGATTGCACTTCAATTTTCCGTTGCTGTCCTCCTTTCAGAACAAAGCCCAGCTTGTGGCTTTTGAGTATTAAAATAAGACAAAGTGATGGAAGCTTGCTAGACTGAGTTTGTGGGTTTCATGAAGCACACACAAGAATTTGCTTTGGGAAATGCAAGACCTTTCAAAAGGTTCCTTGCAGCTTGTTTTTGCAATGGTATTGCCCACCTGAGAAGTGATGATCAATGGGTTGATTGCTGACATTTAACAGGGCACCCATCCACTTTTACCAAGTTTTTGCCTTGTGTTTCTCTTTGAGATTTTAACATACACCCCAGGTTCTTATTATCTGTCTGTTTCTCTTTTAAGTTTAACTGTCTGCAGACTCAAATAAAAATCTGCTAGACTTAATCTTTGTAGAGGTTAAATTGGATAGCCTGAAACAGGGTTATTTCCCCTCCCCTCCATGATTTTATGAGATTAACTTTGAAAGCATGCATTTTAGAGGGACGCCTGTGCAAATGTCTACAGTTCAAGGTCTTCCAGAAGCTTTGGACCATCACCCCCATAATCCCTAATCATTAGACATGTGGGTAAGGACTAGTAGGAGTTGTAGTCTAAAATATCTGAAGTGTAATAGGTTGCCTACTACTGACATAATGTCTGATTTAATATAGTCTGCATTTAAGCCACTTATTTAAATGTACGCAGATGGCACCTGTATATGTACATCAGCTTACAGTTCACAAACTTAAATACTTTAACGTCAATTTCTAACAAGCTTATTTCAGCATTGTTTGTTAAGTAGTGCTTAATCTTGCTATCTGAAACCACCAGATATCTGCTTTTTGTATTTCTAGTTACCTTCTTCTGTGCTTTACTGTTTCTGATCATTTTAGAATTATAGTGGTTCCTCAATTTACGAATTTAATCCATATTGGAATGGTGTTCCTAAGTTGAAATGTTCGTAAGTCGAAGCACCATTTCCCATAAGAATGCATTGAAAACCAATTGATCTGTTCTGACCGAAGGGGGAAAAATCACCAAAAAATTTAAAAAGAACACAGCAAGCCCGGTCAGAAAGTGCTCCCTTGCTGAGGTTTAAGAGACAAGACAGTTAATAGGCATCTCCAAAGGGCCAGCCAGCCAGCTGATTTGGTTCCATCCCAGTGATCACACACTGGAATTGAACCAAAAGAGAGTGATCCTGTGTGCGCCTAAAAAATAGTAGCCCCTAACAGAAAGCCATGAACGTGTGGGTAGGAGTGCTCTAGGGCTAGGCTAGTTTATGTCAGCATTTACATTGTCTGGCCACTGGCAAAAGGACTGAACCAGCCTGTCCTCAGAAGGGACCAAATAGCAGTAGAAATGCCCGTATAGACACTTACTATCCTTTCTCCTTACTCTGCATGCCCCTTGCTAGTACCAAGTGAGCAACATGGCAGACATGAATGAGGACAATCTGTGTTTGTCAGTAGACTCTCTGTTACCTATGATGCTTGCCCTAGGGAGATCAGACTTGAACTGGAACTAGCCACTGAAATCAAACTGTAGTGTTCAGGGAGAACGACGAATAAACAAGAGTCTTAACACAGCCATTGACCTTAATGGCACTTCATGGGTATTGAGGATGATTAGAAGCAACAATAACCCTGCAGGGGCTGAGTATGGGAAGGAACTAGGACCTCCATTTGAGATTAAATTCATAAACTATTTGAAACTATGTTCAGGAACAATTGTTAGGAGATCAGGAAGCAGTTGGCACTTCGCATGTAAACACCAGACTCTTTTGCTTCTGATTTAGTTGCAAACTAGTGTTTCCCATTGGAGCTAAACTGGGATTGTAAACTGAATGCTGGCTATAAGGCAAGCTGTGGCTCATGCAAACCAGGCATTTTGGCATCCTGTGTTTTGCTGTTAAATTGGCAGTGAGAGGGTGAAATAAGAATGCACAGAGGATGAGGGGCATGAACAAGCATAGGCCTCTCAGTGTTACACTGAAATGTTATGTGCAAATTGACCCCTGTTTCTAATTCTGGTTTCTCTATTTGCCATAGAAACAAAAAGTAACAAATATTGCATTTTTATATGCATTTTGTTATGTAAATAGTAGCTGAAGGGTAGGCTTGTTCTGTCACTGAATCTGCAGTTTGCATTACGAGGGAGGCCTTCCCAAATAGTTTTGTAGAGGGATTTTCTTTTTCATAGAGAATGTCAGGGAATTAAGCTTTCCCTTTTTCTTGGTGGTTGTGAGATTGCTCAGGCTTTCCCTTGGCTGCCCTCAAAATAACAAACTGTAACAAAGCCAGTGTGATACAGTGGTCAGAATGTGGACTGGGACTCAGGAAACCAAGAGTTCAACCTCCCATCCACCCATAAAGTTCACTTGGATGACATGGGTTCAGCCATTGTCTTTCAGACCAATTTTTTCCATTGCTTACAAATACGTTGAGTGTCTATCCTTAAATCATTGTTTGAACTTTTTAAACTTGGACATGGTTTAACTTCTGGGGTGGCAGAAGAGATGATCCAAAAAGGTGTTTGAGAGAAATGTTCAGAGAAAAATAAGAAAGCTATGAAATGGTTAAAAAATAAAGATTTCACATTGCTACCTGGTGGAGTTGTAACCATCTGGGCTGCTTCCTCTATAGTTGTGTTAAAAAAATCATTTGAAAGGAAGGCCAGCCTGGTGCATCACATAAATTACAGTGATAGTGTTGAAATAGCTGTGCAGCATAAAGTTTTATGAACAGTAAATCTTCTTTAAGATTAGAGTGCAATAAAGTTCAATAGGCAATGTTAGCATAATTTTGAATTGAAAGAATACACTAGGTTCTGTCTTTCCAAGGGGTGATTTGACATAGTCTGCCTGGTATATTCAACTTAAAGGCTTTTATTACATTTTAATTTCCATAGTGAATTGGGCAAACTAGCCTTAAGCTGTGGTGCAGGGGGATAAAAACTGGAAGTATTAGAATTGCATGAAATGCAGGAAGATTGATAGAATTCACAAAGGATGCACCACACAGGGTGCTTAATTGGCAGTGAGGAGTCACAATAGACTTTTTTTGACATCATGTAAGAGGTCTTGTTCCAACTCATTTGCAATCAGCATTTATCTTTAGAAAGATGAATGATATCTCCTTTCAGCAGCCCCTTTTGCCCGACATAGTTATTTAGATTACAATACTTTCAGTGCGCATGACATTTTATGATATTTACTGAATGGTGTCTGGTTTGCAACTGGGGCCTCCAGAGCATTGTTGTGTCTTAGCACAGCAGGAGAACTGTTTGAACCTTTCCAGTACTAATTAAGGCAGATCATAGAAAGT